CGCCATCGCCTCAGCGCCCGGCGCCGCCATACCCGCCCCACAGTGCAGCGCGGCAGCGGCGCTCTGCCCGCCCCGCATCATAGAGACGCAGCCACTCTGTCCGCCGGCACCACAGAACGCGGGGCGGGGCTAGAGAGGACTGCGGCCCAGCCTGCCAAGGCCATAGAGACGCAGCCGGCGAGGTGGATCCGCAACACCATCGAGTCCGAGGGAGAGTAGAGAGGTCCGCACCAGAGTCCGCCAGGGCCATAGAGACGGAAACGGCCACCCAGCCCGACACCATAGAGGTCGCGGGGCGGCTAGGGAGGACCCCAGCGCGGTCCGCCCCCTGGGGTGCCTGGTAGTGCGCATGCGCAGGCAGCTCGGCACCTTCACCTCTTCACTCCCGGCCGGCAGGGGGCGTCGCGTGGGGCCGCAGCGCTCCGGGGGCGGGACTATGTGGGGGGCGGGGGCAGCGTGGGGGCGTAGCCAAGTGGGGGGTGCAGCGTAGGGGCAGCCCCGTGGGGGTCGGTGGGTGCGAGGGCCGGGCGGGGCTGGTGGCGGGAGGAAGGCTCCTGCGCCCCTGACCCTCAACCCGCCCATTCCTGGGCAACGCGCCTGACGCAGCACCGGGCTGCTTGATCCCCCGGCCCGGCCCGGCCGCGCCACGCAGAGACCACGCGGGGCTGGCAGAGCACGAGGTTTATTGGTCGAGGTCAGGTTTCAGCCATGGTCTGGCGGATCCAGGCCAGGGCGTGCTGCACGCTGGTGTAGACGCTGAACTTGGCGGCGGAGCAGGTGCGGTCGTAGGTGAGGATGCCGGCCGCGTACCACGTGTCGTCGTCGGGGTCGTGCACGGCGAAGGCGCCGCCCGCGTCCCCGTGGCAGGTGTCCCCACGCAGCTCGCTCATGCCCACACAGAAGGTGCCGGGGCCCAGGTCAGGCGCCACGCCGAGGGGGCTGCCGCCCGCGTAGTACTCGGCGCAGAGGCTGGTGTCGGCCACGGGCAGCATCATGTAGCGCAGCCGCTCAGCAAAGGCCAGGGTGGCGCCCCTGCCCCAGCCGGCCACGTAGCCCACACGCCCCACCTCCAGGAAGTCCTTGTGCGCCAGGCAGATGGGCAGCACCTCAGGCCTCAGCAGCACTGGCTGCTGCAGCTTGAGCAGTGCCAGGTCGGTGACGGAGGTGGGGGTGGAGCCGCAGGTGGAGTTGCAGTTGGTGGAGTTGAAGCTGGGGTGCAGGACCACATGCTCCACGGTGCCCGCGGGCAGTTGTCCCTTGGAGCCCAGAAAGAGCTGCAGAGTGGGGGCGACGTCCTCAGGGCTGACGCATGCTTTTTGTCCCAGGTAGACGTTCCTGGCTGTGGTCAGCACCCACCGGTCACTGATGAGCGTGGCCCCCGCCACGAGGTTGCGTGGCAACACCAGCCGGCCCTGCCATGGGAACAGGCCCTTGCCGGACAGATGGCCACCGATGATGCGCTGCAACTGCCGCGGCGGGTTCTTGGGTTTCCCACACACTGCAAGGCAAGCACTGGCGTCAGCTGCAGCTGGCACATGGCCCCTACGGGCCTCACAGCCCCCCAGGCTGCCTCCTTCCTGCACTGCCCGGTCCCAGCAGGGGACACTGGGGACAGGCAACAGCCCCTCCAGGAGTGGATCCGCTCCGCTGCACCCCGTGGTGACGGCAACGGCGAGGCGGGCCCAGTTTCACGTCGAGGGCGCGGCCCCACAGATGTTGGGCACCCCTTGCCCCGGGCTCACCTGGCTCACAGACAGGCGGCTCAGCCCCAGCGTCGTGGTTCACCCACAGGCCCGTCTCATTACACTGGTACGAGCCTGGCAGGAAGAGGCGCAGTCAGCACCAGCTGCCCCAGGCACAGAGGAGGCCCTGCGCCCCCTGCCCATCGTCTGGCCTGGGGCAGGCCTGGCCGCAGTGCTCACCATTGCCAGGGCCGCGCAGGCGGTAGTAGGGTTTGCAGTGGTAGTGGACAGTGTGCTCCCCCTGCTCATTCTCCATGGACCTGTTCTCCACGTGCCCATGCTCAATCTTTGCAGGCTCTGGGCAGCGCTGGCCTGTGGGGCAGACAAGTCCTCAGCACGCTGCCATCCTACCCGGCCCAGCCTCTTCCCCAGCATATCCCAGACCCCATCCCCCCAAGGCACCTGCCCTTACCATTGGTGCCTGGGCCCTCGCTGGCTGTGGTGAGCACCCCCCACACCAAAGTGGTGATCAGCAGCATCGGGGCCCTGCAGGAAGAGCCGTGTGAGCAGAGCAGCCCAGGCCCTTGGCGTCAGGCTGAGAATCCTCCCGTCCCCTGGGTCCCGTGAGCTTGGGGCTTGCTCAGCCCACTGGAACCTGCTGGGACACAGAGCTGCAGGCTTCCCCACAGCAGTGCCACAGCTGGGGTGCAGTTGTTCCAGGAAGTTGCTTACTGCCTGAAGCCTGTGTCCTAGCCCCCCTCAGTGCCTACCACACCCTCCCCCCTGGCCCCAGCAGCTGAAGACCCTATCCCCTGGGCCCCAGAGCAGCTGCAGCACTCACCCCATCGCCGTGGCTTGCTGTTCTTCTGGCTGCTGCGGCTGCCTGTGCAGGGGGGCTCCCTCCACGCTGCCTTTATCCCCCAGTGCAGCCTTGGCAGCAGTGGGCCACAAACAAACATGTGGCCAGCTGCCCAGGTGCTTCCAGCACCCCGGCACTGCCCAGAATTGATGCATGGGGCAAGGGGGACAGCGGGGGAGGTGCATGTTGGGAAACTGCTCTGCATCCAGCTGGCAGTATGCCCAGGCCAGGCCCCTTGCCACCGCGCCTGGCTGCACAGCAGGGCCCAGGCAGCAGCAGCCAGCGAGGGGCACTGGCCGCAGACCCCTGGTCCAGGAAGGCTGCAGTAGCTCAGCCCTGCGCCCAGCTGGGAGGGTCCAGAGGTGAGCCCACCCTCAACGCCTCTGGATTGGTTTCCTGATGCTAGACCCACGGGGGTCACACCGGGGCCCTGGGAGAGGCCGTCTGCCTACCAGGGGCAGGGGCACCCACAGCCCAGCCTGCCCCACTGCCAGCCCAGGATCCCAGGCCGGGTGGGGGGGCTGCAATAGGCATGTTCTTCTCCCCCTGCACCCAGCTCAGCTGGCCTTGGGCTGCTGTTTGCTCAGATCAGGACATGCTGTTCTCGTTTTGGGAACTGGCAAAAGAGTGATTTTTGGCTGGGGCCGGGGCAGGGGTGGGTGCTTTTCTCTTTGTCTGCTCTGGGACCTGTAGTGCAAGGATGTTCCCGTCCCTTCCCCTGCTGGGTGCCAAATGGGCCGGAGCAGCTGGTGCTGTTTGCTGTAGCCGCAGGGCTCACCTGGCCGGGGCTGCCAGGAAGCCAGGTGTGGTGCTCTGTGCCAGGGCCCACCCCTCCGCCTCTGCCCTGCGGCCCAATAGGGCTGGGGGCTCAGTGCAGCTCCCCTGGCCCTATGCTGCACAGGCCTTGTGTGGGGGGTCCCATGGCTCCAGTGATCACCAGGCAGCAAACAGGACAGAGGATCCAGGGCTGCATGCAGCAAGGAAGGGATGTGAAGCAGGCCTGAGAAGCCCTGGGGCAGTGCCAACAGGGTCCAGGCCAGCTGGGACAGGCTGGAAGGGGCAGCAGAGGCCATAGGGCAGCAACCACAGCTCAAACCAGGCTAGAGGTGGTCGTGCCCAGGGGACGGGGACCTGGGCGAGGTAGCGCAGGGAAAGGGCAGCTCCTTTGGCCCCAGCAAGCTCCTGGGCAAGGCCATGACAGAGCCTGCAGCTGGGTGGGAGCCTGCTGGGGCTGGGGGGGCAGGGAGGTCTCACCCCCCCCCAAGGGCAGCACGACAGCAGCTGAGCGTGGGCTGTGTCCCAGCCCCCTTCGCTCAACTGCCCCATGCTGACCACAGGTGGGGCAGCACCCGGGGCAGACCCGGCCTGTCCATGTTCAGCTGAGCCCCCCAGGCCGGCACAGGCAGAGCTCCCACCAGGCCTCTCACACAGGGAACCAGCTCCAGGTCAGTGCTGACCTGCAGCCCGCGGGCCCGGGATTGAGGGCACAGGCCTGCCCACCTCTGCCACCCGCCATGCAGCAGAAGCAGGGAAGTGGGAGAGCCCCTCAGATGCCATGCCAGGGCCCCATCCTTCCTGCTCAGGGACCTCCTTGCCAGGTCCATGCAGGCCCCCTCCTCCCCACTGCTGAGACATGAGCACAGGTCCCAGGGCGGGCACGGAGCAGCAGCAAAGGAAGGATGAGGCCCGGGGAGTGAGCAAGCACCAAGTTTAATGGCAGGAGGCAAAGACCGAATGTCAGCCCATGCAGCCCCTGAGCTGAGGAGATGATATCAGCCCCACACGGGGTCAGGCACAAGAGACCCCAGCCCAGGGAAAGACACAGCTGAGCACCGGGGACAGTGCTAGAGGTAGCAGCTCAGGGCAGGGCGTGGCAGCCGAGGGGGCCACAGCAGCCCAGGCAATTCCTCCTACCACTAAGGGCCGGAGGTTGGGCACTGCCACCCTCTCCCATGGCCCCAGCATGGGGCTCCACGCCAGCCCCAGGGGCTGCACAAGCATGGGCGATGCTCAGATCAGCTGCCCCAAAGCCCCTACACCAGGCCTCCCGCAGGCAACCCAGGCACGGGGCGTGAGTTCCTGCAGCACCCTGCACCCGCCTGGGGGGCCTCGGGCTGGAGTCCAGGTCACTTCACACTCAAGGCAGTGCTGGCAGCTGGTCTTCAGGGCCCGCAGCTCCTCTGAGCCAGGCCCAAGTGTCCAGGCCCAGGCCCTGCGCCCCTCAGGGCCGATGATCCGCCCCAACAGCCTCCATGACGCTGGCAAAGCCCTGCTTCCTGCAGCCAGATGAGGGTACCGTGATCCCCTGGCCCAAGCTCAGAGCCAGCCGCCAGCCTCGCGCCTGCCTGACCCTGAACTCATGGCTGCTCACCCAGCACCACAACTGTGAGGACCAGACCCAGACGGGGCCAAGGCACCCGCAGCAGCACCGCCAGCGAGAGGCCTCCCAACCCCTTGGGCATGGCCTGGGCAGCTCCCCCCAGCCTCCAGCTGCCCCATCCACAGACGGGCCGAGGCAGGCGGCAGGGCCCCGGCCCCCGCTGCAAGTATGGTCGTGCGGGGCGGCCCCGGCCAGCAGGGCCCTGTGCTCACCGCAGCAGCGCAGCCAGCTCCCGCTTCACGGTGCCCACCACGGGGGGCCCGCGGTAGGTGAGCGCCGTGTACAGCTGCACCAGCGACGCCCCAGCTCGGATCTTGTCCAGCGCATCCTGCCCGCTGCTCACACCGCCCACGCCGATGATGGGCACGCAGCCTGCAAGCAGGGGAGGGGGTCAGCGCCAGGCAGAGGCAGGAGTCAGCCCCCGGGCCCTGCACCACCCAGTACCTTGGGTAAGGCAGTACATCTCGCGCACGGTCTCCGTGGAGAGGTCCCGCAAGGGCTGCCCGCTCAGCCCCCCTGGCTCTGCGCGTGCCGCGCCACGCAGGCTGCTGGGGCGGCTCACGGTGGTGTTGGTGATGATCAGCCCATCAACCCCCAGCTGGGAGAGAGACAGAGCATAAAGGGGTCTCCCCACAGCCCCTTGCCCACGACTCGAGCCCCTGCCCTGTGCAGGGGCAGGCAGAGCTGCCTGGCTGGGGGCTGCCAGATCCAAGCACGGTTAGCGCCAAGGGGCAGGACCTCTGCCTCTGGCTGGGGGCCATGCCTGGGCCCTGACATAGCAAGGATTAAACCCGGACCAGCCCAACACAGCCCCACTGGACCTGCCAAGGGGGCTCTGCTGCAGCCCCAGTGGCAGGTGCCTTCCTTGGCCCCAGGGCCCCATGCTGCCCCCTCTGCGCTGCCTCACTTCGCTCACGACACCGGCGATGTCCTGCTTGTCTTGCGCGCTGAGGTCGGGCGCAATCTTCACCAGCACGGCCGGCTTCGGCACGCAGGGCAGCGCATCCCGCTCCTCCAGCACCTGCAGAAGCTGGGCCGTGAGCACCAGGTAGCGCTGGCCTGGCTCAGGCCAAGCTCACCCCCACGCAGCCCCGGCCACTGCCCAGGGGAGAACAGGGCGTGTCTGAGCAGGGAGAAGACGGCCCGGTGAGCCAGAGCGCCCAGCAGCGGCACAGCACGCACAGCCCGCAGCAGGGTGCAGAGTGGAGCAAAGAGGACCAGCATGACCAGCCCCTGGTACAAAACCAACTGCACTCGCCAAGCGCTGGACCCTGTGTTCGGGCACATCCCAGCCCCTGCCACACACCCATTTGGAGATGGCGGCACCCATCTCGTCCCCTTGGAAAAGGGCCTGACTTCACGGACCCAGCACAGGTGGCCCGTGCACACGAGGCCCCGGGAGCCGGGCGGTCACTCACCTTGCCCAGGAGGCAGCGCAGCTCCGCTCTGCCCTGCAGGTCCCGCAGCCCCGGGGTGTTGGGGCTGGACACGTTCACCACCAGGTAGTCAGCCAGCGGGCCCAGCACCCGCACCCCAGCCACGTAGTCGGCCACAGCATCCACCGAGCTCTTGTTCTTGCCCAGGTTGATCCCGAGGGGCTGTCCCGCTGCAGCACACGGGCACCGGTCGGCCACCAGCCGCCAGGTCCCTGCCCCAGGCCACAAGACACAGCGCCCACCCCAAGACAGGCGAGGTCCAACGCAGAGGCGCGAACGCTGCCAGCTGCTGGGGCCCAGAGCCAGCACCGGGCTCACGGAGCAGAGCCAGACCAGCGCTGGGCCGTGGCAGGGAGCCCCCCAGGCCTCAGCCACTGCTGCGCGGCGCCGGAGCTGCCCAGACCCGAGCGGCAGCGGGAAGGACCCCCAAGCCACAGGCCCCGGCTCAGGGCTGCAGCCTTGCGTGTCCCCCAAGCAGCGCAGCCCTGCTGCCCCCGTTACCCAGCTGAGCGCCTGGCCCGCGGCGCCCCCACCTGCAGTCAGCCGCAGCTGCGCGTCCTGCCGGGCTCGAAGGCGGCGCTCCACGGCAGCGTGCCCGTGGCTGTTGAACCCGTACCTGCGATGGGCAAGGAAGGGGGCCTCAGCTGGGGCAGGCCTGGGCCTCCAGCACCCGGCCTGCGCGGGCTGCCCAGCACCACGGAGCTGGGCACGGGACGGCACCGCCAGGCCACGAAGCCCACCTGTTGATGACGGCCTGGTCCTCGGGCAAGCGGAAGACGCGGGGCCGGGGGTTGCCGTCCTGGGGCTGGGGCGTGACGCTGCCGACCTCCACGAAGCCGAAGCCCAGGCGGTAGAGCCCGTCCACCGCCTCCCCGTGCTTGTCAAAGCCGGCGGCCAGCCCCACCGGGTTGCGGAACCGCCGGCCCAGCACCTGCACCTCCTGCGGGAGCGCGGCCGTGAGCGCCGCGGGGCACGGCGCCCGCCCGCCCGCCCAGACCCGCGGACCCCCGCAC